TAAACAGCCACTAATAGCGAAAGCTTCACAGAAAGTATCAGCATAAATATACAAATCGAAATTAGAACAACTGCTCATTTCCAGTAATGCTTTTTTGCTACATTTTTGATATATGTTGTTTTATTATTAAAACTAAGTTGCGTCTGGTATTTGGTCGAAGCCTAGTAACATCATTAGTGTGGGATCATCACATTGACTGTCCAAGAGATCTGACTGTCTAAGGATGTAAAATATTTAAAATATATGTTAAAAAAGTTAATAAATTATGAAGTTGAAAATTAAAAAGGTTAATAAATCCTTAGCCTTTAACTACTCCTAGTCTAACTCAAATATTATTTTTTGTTGGCTAACTTTTTTCTTTAAAAAGGACGGAATCAGCTAAGATTCCTGAAAAAAAAAGCTCCACTGTTGACGCAAGTCTTCTGATTTCTCCTGCTTTTGTCCTTATTTTCTTTCCTTCCGTCATATTCCTTTCGAAGAGGAGGATCGAAAGGAGGAAGACAAAAACAGAAAAGAGAGGGGTGTCTCCTCTTCTCCCTACAGGGGAAGGGAGAACGGAGAAAGAGGAAGACAAAAGAGGGACAGATCAGTTTTCCTCGTTTTTCTCTCCATTCTATTTGATTTCACAGCTTGACGGAGAATATGGAACATATACGAGAAATCTATCAGAACGTCTTCAAAACTGAGAAAAAAAAAATGTGTAGGCCGTAAAAAATTTTAGCAGCTAGAATGATAACTGAAATATGCGAAGACAAGGGGAAGTTGAACCGGGCGATATCACGAAACGGCCGACGTTGTTTCGCAAACGACAACTGCGTTGGCCATCAGGATAGCTCGAGTGCATACCAGAGCGTAGGGAACGAGAGGGGTGTCGGCTTTCGAGTGAAATTAACATTGAGGGAATTGTTCGAAGTCATACTGCTGCATTCTTTCAAATGTCAGGCCAGCGTGTGCTTTTGGCCCTGTTTAATAGCTTCAGCAAATAGCTTGATGGACAAACTATGACAGGTAGGAAGTACTCTGAGAGGAGCAGTATACTATAGCCGCAGCAACAATCATTTCATCGACAAAGTTTATTTCATTGTGTTGGTTTTACGAGGATTCACTGGTGCTGAACTATCCTGAATCGAATTTTTCTAGATCATCCACTCCCTTTCACTGTTTTCGTTTAACAAGCTCTTCACTGTTGTTTCATCTCATCTGATGCACATCTCACACGATTCTCTTGCATTTTTTTGCAATATGCAAAAAACTTTGAACCGATTCTGTATTTCACTCTTTGTGAGGGGCTTGGAGAAGTAGCACTTTGGTAGAGTTCGTGTTGACGTCACTGGTACTTTTTTTCCAGGTTTTCCTTCTTTGTATGCCCCCTACATTATATCTGCTTCCAAACGACAAGGCGTCTCAACGTAGTCTGGGAATGGCTATGCCCATGGAGTAGCTAGTGGTGCTCAGTACACGTATTGTTAAATCTCAAAATAGCTAAGGTCTGGCCAGACTGCTCCTGTCGAGTAAGCCACTGAGCATGGAAAGGATCGTCAGGGTCGCCAAAGACTGATCAGCAGCCGAATTAGTGACCGAAAACCGACAACAACCGAATGCAGCAACCAGAAAAGAGCGATTAGTAAAAACAACCAAAAAATGAAAAAGTATCGAGTATATTATGCCCAGCTTTAATATCCTCTATTCTCCATTTGTACTTTGAATATATTTATAAAAGTACATTAATCTATTAAAATGAAATTGAGGAAATATGAAAAAGGCACAAAAGTAGTTATTGCAGCAGTATTTTATCTGAAGAATATCATCCCTCGCCTTGTCTGTAAGAGAAGTAGGATGATGAAGAGATAAGAAGTTTGGGGGAAGGAGACTGAGAATCCATAACACGACAATTTAAGCATTTATCAGTAATCTTTCCGCGTTTAAATA